CTATAGGGCCCCTAAACCCTATAGAGGGCCCCAAACCCTATAATGCTGCCAAACCCTATGGACCCCAAACGCTATAGGGCCCCCAGATTCTATAGGGCACCCCAAACCCTGTAGGCCCCCAAACCCTATAATGCCCCCAGCCCCTGTAGGCCCCCAACCCCTATAGGGCCCCCAACGCTATGGGCCCCCCCCATCTCCCCATTGGGGGCCGTTCCCCGCAGGCCTGGCTCGCGCCAAGTCCATCCCCAGCAAGACGTTCTCCAGCGAGGTGGTGACGCTGTGGTACCGCCCGCCCGACATCCTGCTCGGCTCCACCGACTACTCCACGCACATCGACATGTGGTGAGCGCAGCGCAGCGCCCCCAGGGCACGACGGGGCACAAGGGGGGCGGGCCTGGGGCGGTGCGATGTGGTGGGGTCGGGGCTCGGGGGCGCTGCAGGGGGCGCTGCAGGGGGTGCTGCAGGGGACCTCCGGCTCTACAAGGCTCATAAAGGTGGGTGCTGTGGTTTCTTGCACAAGGATTTGCACGAGGAGCCACACGAGGGGTCTGGGGCTGTCACACGGCTGTGGGGTCGGGGCTTGGGGTCACTTTAGGGGGCGTTGCACGGAGACCTCCGGCTCTACAAGGCTCATAAAAGTGGATTCTGTGGTTTCTTGCACGAGGGTTTGCACAAGGATTTGCACCAGGAGTCACATGAGGGTCCTGGGCTGTTGTGATGTTGTGGGGTCAGGGCTTGGGGTCACTTTAGGGGGCGTTGCACGGGGACCTCCGGCTCTAAAGGGATCCTAAAAACAGGTTGGGGGTTTCTTGCACGAGGGTTTTCACAAGGGTTTGCACGAGGGGTCACACCGGAGGTCTGGGGTGTTGCGTTGATGTGGGGTGGGAGGTTGGGCTTCTGGTGTCCTGTGCCTCTTATGGGGTCGGGGGCTCTGGGAGCATTTGTAGGGTCAACAGCGTTTTGGGGTGACCCTTGCACGAGGGCTTTGCACGAGGCTGAGTTCATGGTGACTTATGGGGTCTGGGGGGAATCTCTGGGGTCCGGGTGGGATCTGTGGGGCCTGGGGGGAACCATGGGGTCTGGGTGGGATTTATGGGGTCTGGGGGTGGATTTATGGGGTCAGGGTTTGTTATGGGGTGCCTCTTGCACGAGGGTTTGCACGAGGATGAGTTTGTGGAGACTTATGGGGTGTGGGGGGACCTGTAAGGCCTGGGGGGGAAACTATGGGGCCTGGGGGGATTTAATGTGGTC